GCTTCTTGTTACTAGTAGCGATGCCAGGAGCCCCTAGTAGCGTCCTTTGCACAATGTCTTTTATATATGCGGCAAGTATGTTGGAGGCCACCGTTATTAGATTGGAGGCCATTGCTATTAGTTAACAAAAGAAGCTTTTCTGCTTTGCAATGCACGAAGTGGTCGAAAGCAAGTGTTGCAACTGTGCCCTGAGTTTCACGATCCGGAAGAGCCTGTGGAGTGGGTGGCTGGCTGTAAGCCTGTCAGGCAAACATATGGGTGCTTGGCGTGCATGTCCATCCGTTTTTTGCTGATATAGTGCTCAACAGCCAAAGTCTACCGTTTAGAACAACAGCCGAGGCACTGCAAGTGTCATGTGGCCAAAGCCTGATGGTGCAGCGGCTTGCACTGGAGTGGTCACCCTAAATATCTAGGAACCAAATCATTAGTGCGAGCGCTTCTTCAAGGAAGCTCCCCGCCCTCAGGCGTGGGGAGCTTCCTTGAAGAAGCGTGAGCTATCCTGCATATATATGTAGTAGCTACTTCAACTACTAGCTACCTAGCTTCTACTACCTACCTCTAGCTGCTACCCCACCTCTAGCGGTCTACCCTCCACAAAAAAAAGAAAGCTGGAGTTGCCATTCTGTCTGAAGCAAATGCTGAAAGTTGAACGTCGAGTCTGGCCTTTGGGGCTGTCCAAGCCAGGAGGTGCATGCGGCACTGGTGCTTGGCACAGGAAGTGATCAAAGGTCAAACGCGGAAATTGGTCGAGTGATCAATGTCGGAGTTTTGCATCTCCTTTGTTCGATGTTGAATTCTCTGCTGGATTGGTTCGCCCAATTTTGCTTCAGGCTGATAGATATGAAGATTTCAGAGGCGTTCGAAATTAAGAACCTTGCCCAATCCAGGGGGCGGCCGCATGAGTCCCGGGAGGATCGCATCCTGGTATGTACGCTTGACATTAACCTACTGGCGATGGCCTCAAACCTACTAATTTGTGTTCCTTGCTCTTTTCTGATCACTTTTCTTTTGTACAGTCCATGTCTGTATGTCACAAAGACAAGCCTAGATGGTTAGGTCTTGAATGGCACTACGCTTGCCTCTTGAAACTACGTGGGCAACGAAGGCCAAACAGTGTCTGTTAGTGTCAGAAAATCTAGGCTAGATACATCTTTAGAACTCTACCAGGTGTCTGTGCAAGTTTGTTGAAAGGATCTCTTGATTGATAGCATCCCAACCCTATGCAAGAACTATTCATGGGATCTTCACAGGAGGACCTTTGTAGCATCTTTGTGGAGGGTCTTCTCTGCAAGGAGATGTGCTTACAAACATTCTGAAATCTCTTGGTCTCGACAGGAGGTCTCTTTGTAGGAAATCTACAATGTCTCTGATCCCTGTAGAACATGTCATATGCCTGCACCTGGAAATCCAGCCACTAAGTCTGACTTCAAGGTGTACAAAGCAACGCCCTGCCACGAAATCTGAGCTTCGACGCGACATGGCGCGGTGCCTGCCACAAAGTCTGACCATGGGACTATTTATGGTCCTAAGTCCTAAGTCCGAAGTGAAATCTTCATGGCAAGCGGTAGGGATTGGACAGCTTCGCCTTCGCTTCGTCCAGATCTCGTGGCCCAATCTCGGGGCAGATCTTGTGCCACACGGAAATCGAGTTTTGAAGATTCCACTGTTCATTCGTGCATTGCAAATTGTTGAGTTCAGATTTGGCAGGCATACAATGTGTGTGTACCTTGAAATCAATTCCGTTCAAATCCCGCATTTCGTGGAGCGAGGCAGCTCTTTGTAAACTTTTAAGTTTAAGATTCTTGACAGGCTAGTAACAAAGGGCATCGCTACTAGGAGCAAGGACGCTACTAGGGCTCCTAGCCTTACAACTAGGCGTAAGAAGCTACTAGTAACAAGGGGCATCGCTACAAGTAACAAGGGCATATGTTGTGGACCTTCGACGAAATCCAATAAGCCACCTCCCAATCATGTGCCCACGGGCCTTATGCAGTCTACGATTCTCAAGCAAACTTTTGCAGGACCCATACGCACAGTGCCCCCCAACCCATGCGAACGGCGACCTAAACTAAAAAACCATAGTGTGGACAATGTTTGGAGAGCAAGGATGCATTTAAGAGATAGGCAAGGAAGGTTCAACAAAAATCTGTGGACACTGTTTCAACTTCCGTATGCTTCTACATGTGCTCTCTTCCTGTGACAGCTCCTTGACATCCTGAGCTTCTGCAAGCTTGCTGGTGCCATGCCCTCGGCAACCCCTGCAATCATTGAAGATGTAAAAACAAATGAAACAAGAAAAAAGAAAATCAAAGCACGCATGTCCAGTGCCTAAGACATGTCAAAGCGTTTTCGTACGTTCATGATGCTTTGAACTTCGAACAAATTCAATGTGTTTGTTCTTTCTGTTTCACCTCCCCCTGCTGCGCCGTTCATGCGGAAGGTGGCAGAACCTCACTTGTTCAAAAGCTCAAAGCAACATGTCAGGATTCATCAAGCTTAAATAATTGTAACTATGCCTTGGATGCACTTTCTGCATCGAACTCTTTCTTTCGTCTCTCAGTTCGACACTGGCAATTGATACCGTTGCGACAGCGATTCTGGCAATCGGCAACTGAAAAGGAATCTTTGCAATGTGAAAGAATTGCAAAAAATAATGGACGCTACTAGGGCTTCTGGCCATACTACTAGGAGCAAGGACGCTACTAGGGGCTCATTGCAAAGATTCATTCCAAAGACGAAACGATGGAGAACGTCGCGATTCATTGTGTGGCCTGGGGCTGATTCCGCGAGTCCGGCCTGCCCTGAGTTTGACATTTCCTCTGGCAAACACTGTCAACTACCTAACGGACTACGGGTGAAACAACAGGCTCTGCGAATGCGGGAAACAAGCACGAGAGTCTGCGAGTGCCGTGCACACCATTGTTGTTCGCAAAGCTGTTTCATTCCGGCACCTTTTGTGCCAGTAGAGGACCCATTTGGCAAACTGAAGTGCAGCAAACCTTCTTGGAATACAGCCAAACCTATCTAGTGAACTTTATCCGGAAAAGGACTAGAAAGTTCATCTGCACCAAGGTCATTATCCAAGGACTTGCGGACTGGACATCACAGAACGCCTGAGAAAACATGCAGCAACTAAAGGCAAAACTCAGAAAATCACATAATGCAGCTACAAACAGAACATCCTCATCAAATTGCCTTTCACAACCAAAAACAGTCTGGGCACAGCGTGTAGGAAGAACCTACCTGAACATCGTCAACTAGGTGTGCAGACCTACAAAGGATACTTCGTGCAGCTCCTCCGTTTCATCCTTAGTGACTGAACAAGGCAAAAAACCAAGTGTGCAATGTTCTCAAGTGGTTTCGCAATTTCAAAAACACCGCTAGGTTGGAGAGGTTGGAGGCCAATGTCATTCCCTCATCGTTCTTTGTGCCTCATAAGGCGCCCTTTTAATGCTGATAGCGTCGGCAGAAAAAAGTGGCAGGTCTTTCCGGCTGCTTTCTTCCTCAGCTGAAAATGTTCAAACAACTGTCAACTCTGATCGAAGCCAAGCTCCCTGCGCCATTAAACGCAGATGTCATAACATCCGTCACATCTGCTCCTGCAGTAGAAGTTAACATCTTAACAGATCTCGAAATGATCTGACAAAGCATTTCGAACGAATATATTTAGGGAATGAAGAGAGATGTCCAAACAAAACTGTGGCAGGAACCTTACTGGTCAAGAGGTGAGGTTGTTGCCATTGGGGAAATGGGGTTCTGCCACTGATGAAGTGGTGAGTTCGCAGCAGCTTCTTGCTGCTCGTGAGCAGGATTGCCTTGATGGTGAAATAGGACATGTTCAATGCTCCTTCGATTCTTTCCCTCTTCAGTCTTGTACAAGTTTGGGCTGTGCCTTCCAATTCCTGCACCTCCGTGCTTGGAATTTCCTTCATCTTGAAACTTGCAAAATGGAATCATACGCACCTTTTCTTGATACTCAAAGAGGGCTGCAGTAGGGTCCATGATGTTAATTATTTTACTCGCTTTGCCACCATAGTCCATTTTCTTCAACTTCATTCTTCTAATTTGTTGCTGTGAACTGTCTGTTCTTAGAGGTTGACATGGAGTTGCCCAAGCTTTGCTTCAGAAGGACCGCGCAATTGACTTGCCTGCTCTGAGATGCATTGGTCTCTCATCGATATCTCTCTGTTCCCTATTTTGAACATTTTGTTCAGTGGTCCTTCTGATGGCGTTGCTCCATCTGTAGCTGCCTTCAACATTACTTGATGTCCCCAATACTGTTCTGTTGATGCTTGCATATCTTCCCAGCTCCTTCTTGCTAAGAGGTTTCCTGCATTGAACTCTTGTAGCACATCATAGGCGCTAATTGCTGTAGTATCTGGTGTGTCGGGCTCAGTGAAGCCTCCCGCCGGAATCAATCGACAATGATTCTCCTGGTATAGTTGCGCAATCGTTCAATTTTGTCTCCATAGTTCCCAGCTTCCCTGGCATCTCTTTCAAAATGTTCAGTTCTACTTTCTAACTCCATGGTCCTGTATTTCATACCATCTGCTCTCCAATCAATACGCTGCCAATTGTCATAGTAGCGTCTTTCTGTATGACCCCATTGTTCACCACAGTCCTTTTGGAGTTTCAGGTCAAGACGTTTGACAATTGTAAAGACCACAAAAACAATACCACAAAGAAAATGATGTTGGTTGCAATGATCACTATGATCCAAATATTCCAATTGTCATTGGATTCCTTCATCTACTCCAGCCTTATGTCTTCTAATCCACACGGGGTGTTATTTCCTTCTTTGAAGGATGCTTCTGTAACCATTGGCTGCAAGCCCTCCAACGCTACCATTCTCACAAGCATCTTGGCAATCTTGTTGACCCTCCCTGCAAAATTCATCTGTTCTTCAAATTCCCTTCTCCCGTATTCTCCTACTCTCACTTGGTCTTCAGTGCCAGTATCCACTTAAGTTCATAAAGTATCTGGTTCTTTGTCCTCCGAGTGGCTTTGCGTTGAGGTCTGCCATGTTGCTATCTGTTGGCACTTGTACCATCTTGAAATCTTCCTTCCTGTTCTCAACCCATAGCAACTTTCCATCTAAATGTCTCACTTTTCCAACTCCCCTTCGTCACAAGTTGGCGCGCGCTTGATGAATCTGTGAAGATGTACTGGTCCACCTTTGTCCCAAGAACAAATTATAGAACTGCTCTGATATAGGTTCTATCTGATGCTGAGGAAACTATTGCGTGTAGTTCTGCTTCACATGAAGATAGGCTTACAATCTTCTGTGTCCTGCTGCTATTGAACAATGGACAACTATTCACTGCGTGGAATCCTCCTGACGTTGACTTTCTGTCTCCTTTCTTGACATAACCTTTTCCTTCTTGGTGGAAGTTCAAGGGCTAGACAATAGCCTTCTACAAGAACCCCAAGAGTTTTCTTCAAGTGAGAAGCGACATAGCTGTAGGATTTGACATTCTTGAAGCCAAATCCGCCACTGTGAACGCTACCGCATTTTTTGTGGACATAGATAGATACCTGGCCCAACAATGCTTCTGAAAAGGCTAATCTTCTCTGGCTCGTGCAAGACTTCTGACTTGTCTTCCATCTGGATTGAGTTGTCTGCTGGTAGTTGTTGGAGTTTGACAGGTTCAAACTGCTCTTCATAGGCTTTCAGCATCTGCTGGATGTAGTTGCCTGGTTGGATCAAAAATCCATCAAATTCCAGTTTGTACTTTCTCCGCAGGAAATTGAACTCATCTCCCATCCTCTCGGCCTTGCTCACACTGGTGTCGAAATTGCCTGGAATCTTTGGAAGAAAGATTTCATTGGTGTACTTTGAGTCTGCCGCGAAAATCAAGTCGTCCACATGGATCCAAATGGTACTCTTCTCATTTCTTCCTAGGCGTGGACACTCGGCACTAAATTGGTAGTTGACTTCCTCTGTGAGGTACTCTGTGAAAAAGTCAAACCACGCTTTTGCTCCAACTCTTTGTCCGGTCAGATTCCCCTTCACTAGGAATTCTTCTCCTCTCAAGAGCACTTTTAATTTAATGGTTTCTCTTGTGGAGCTTGTAGCAATGCATCCTTCACACCCAGACATCCTAGTATCTATGAGAATGCTCCTTCTCCCTCTCTCGCCTCATCTTCTGTGCTAATTTTTTGCACGAATAGTGCGGGTAGAAGCTTCAGTACATGCGGCGAAGTCGCTGGTGGGAAAATGTCATCTCCCTTCCCTTCAGCGAAAGAAAATCCTCTTGCAACTAACTAGTACCTCTTAACTGAAATACCATCTCCAAGTTGATATGGCTTCTTCCTCCAGTCATACCAAGTAACTGGCCCCTTCAGCCTCTGGTTTCTCCACTTGCATCTTCTGGAGTCTTTTCTCCTCCACTTCATCAGCTACTCTGTCAACCCATTCTTCTGGATCTCCTTCTGGTTCATGTTCTCCATCGCGCCACAAGCATTTTGATGTAAGATAGCTAGATAAGACAAGGGTGTCTATGTCTATAACTTAAAAATAAAAACAAAAAATCCAAACTCACTTCAAAAGTCCAACCAAAACTCACCTCTCACCAGGCAAGTCCAAGCAAAACTCAAAAGTTCAAGGCAAAGTCCAAGCAAAACTCACAGGTAGGGAAAACAGGGAAGCGCCCGCTCAGCGAGTTTTGGGCGAGCTTTGCGCGAGCTTTTGACGAGCTTTGGTAGAAGAAAACTAGACAAAGGCTCAAATCGAAGCTCAAAAACTGGATGCGCGCGAGCTTTTCACGAGCTTTCTGCGAGCTTAGCTCGAAATAAACCAGCACCGAACTCACCACGACGCTCACGCCACGGGAAACTACTTTTGCGCGAGCTTTAATTGGACTTTCCCTGAGTTTCGCTTGAACTTTTTAATGATCAGTTGAATTTGCTTTGGACTTTCCTGTTGACTCTTGAGCTTCCATTGGACATCAGCACAGCACAAGCGAGTTTTAAGCGAGCTTGAAAACGAGTTTTGGGCGAGCTTTAAGCGAGCTTGAGAGGCCCCTGTCTTATCTGCTATTTTACGTCATAACACAAGCATTCAGGTCCATTGATCGCTTCTCAGTCTGAATCATCATTTCCCACTCTTCTTCCCCAACCTCTTCTGCAACTGGGGAGTGTTCTTCATCTACATGGTACAGATCTTCTCTACCAACTTTCACCACGTTAAACTTGGCCTTCTTGCTTGGATCATCTGATGGCATGAGTTTCTCTATTGGGATTTCCTCCTCAAGCAATTCAAATGCTTCTCTGGGGCTGGATGGCGCTGATGACCTCAATGAACATAAGATAGGAGTAATTGGATTTGGCTGTCCTGCTGGCAATGATGTAGAGGGGAATGCTCTCACTTCTTCTTCAAAAGTGTCTTCTCAGTTGTAAAGAGAACTTTCTGCTTCTTACTTGATGTCTCTTCTCCACTTGGCTTTCTTTCACTTCTCATTGCTTCAACAGGGGTCTCCAGCAGGGCTGGAATCTCCTTTGGCTCTGGAAATAGTTGTTCTTCTTTCTCTGAATCACTTCCTTTGGCCATGACTGCTTCTGCATCCTCATCCCTGAGTTTCACCACTACATGTTCCCGAGGGATATCTGTCTGCGCTGCTGGTAGCGCCCTCCTCTTGGCGGCAACAATTCTTCCTCCAAAATTGGCTTGATGCTCCCACGAAAATGCATTGAAGCTTTTGTATGTAAGTATTTTGGACCAATCGTACATAGGTGTCTTGCCTTTCAACCTTTCCCAAGAACAAGCATAGACGCAATCTCGCTTCTCCTTTGTTGAGGCTCTTGATCTAACCGTGAACTGGTTCACCATACTCTGCTAAAAGTCCCTTGTAACTTTTGTCATTGACAGGCTCATAAAGAGTTGCTCCTTTGACTGGCTGAAATCTGTTAAGTACCCACCTGACATGTCTTGCTGTCCAAGTCCACCAAAGTGCATGATCTGATCCAATCTTGACACCAAGTCTTGACTGCACACCTTCAATGAAAGTTCCTGCAAGCTTTCTCACCCTGTCAACTGTGTTCTCTGACAGAAATGAATGATCTCCAAGCTTTGAGTTAACCACTCTGTTAGTGAGTCCTAGACTGTGTTGAGCATTGATCAGCATCTTGAGGATTTGCCTTGTTGTGGGTTCATTGTCACTCCTGTAGGTGAATGCTGAGTACCCTAACAACTGACTGAAACTTGTCAATTCTTGCACAATTCGGCGAAATTGGCCTTTGCTCCCCAATGGCACAACATGAATGAATCCAGTTCGGCCGTCAACTGCAACTAGCCAACATACTGCTATTGCTGACTTTGTTTCTCGGCCAATTTCTGAATCTCTTGCTCTCGTATTGCAAAAGTCAACGCTTACCTCAGGAATACTTCCTCTCTTTACTCCATCTCTTCTCTCACCTCTCTTGTTTCTTGAGCTTTTGCTTCACTCACCAAGCTTTTGGCGCTCAACAATTCCATCTTTTTGTTGCAACTGAGGATCTTGGTGTAGGTGAGGATCTTGGTGTAGGACCTTAGCTTCGAGCCACTGCTTGAAATGCCGAGAAATGAACAAGCTGCCCTCAGAGTTGCCAAAGATGAGTCCTTGCTCAACTCTGTTCCATTCACCAAGACTTTGTCTACATCCATTGGGCTCAATTGTAGTTCACACTCAAGGTCATCGGCTTTCTTTTCCTCTTCTTTCTGACCTTCTACCTCCTTTTCCTGTGGGGTAGGGGTAATCTCTTCTAGCGCCTGCTGCGCTTCTTCCTTTCTCTGCTCTACGTTCTCAAGCTTCTTGTATCCTGGTGAAATCCTCTGGTGGTGCTGGCTCATAGCTGACGATTGCGATCAAAGGAATGACTGTGTCATCATCAAAGAATTGCTCATGAAGCTCTTCCTGCTCATCGTGCTCTCACAATATTCAAGCATTAACCATCGACCTCCTCGTTTCACCAAAGTAGTTCTCATCAGCTCTGGTGATTCTTCCGCTTCTGGAATTACTGGGAGGTCCACAAACTTTGAAGTGAAAAAGCTTCCCACTTGCAGTCCATGTTCATTGAAACTCCAACCTGATTCTTTCTCAAGAGGTTCAGGTCCTTGTACCTCCAAACAGTTCTATGGCTCACAATTGCACCCGGGATCCCAGTGACCTAGAGGCTTTTCAATTAGTGCTCCAGAGGGGTCACCTCCTTCTCAGCTCCGCTACCATACGCACCGCTTCTTGATACTCAAAAAGGGCTGCAGTAGGGTCAATGATGTTAATTTTTATACTCTCATGTACACATTGATCTGCACAGAAAATGGTTCGCAAATCAGCATGCAACAAAGACCAAACCCGACTGGAAGTTGTGGACATGTCATGTCGATTCACCTTTTTCAGCATATCAGGAGTGCAGGTTGTGCGGTCAAAGCTTTGTCATGACAAAGTTGTTGCTTGCCTTCGTAGGACTTTCCTGATTGTGTGTGAATATGCTTTCGGATGAGCGCTAGCAGGCATCATGGAGCCGTTGAAGATCACAGATCAACATTGTGGGCCGCAAGTAAAAGCTGCTAGGGCTCGCACGGACTCGCAGAACACTTCCACTGTGCAGGTAGTCGGGCAACCTCAAGACTTGATATCTGAGAAACTCTTAAAAAGGCCCCAAGCAGGAAATCACGCCAAAACCTCCAAGCAGAACATCGACTATATAGGCCTTCATTGCAAAGCTTCCCAAGGCTCGGGCATTGCATCGCATGGCTTCTGCATGAGTGCTCGAACCTAAACTAGGTGATGCTAAATCTGCAAAGCAAAGGTCACAGCCACACCCCAGATCTAAAATTGAAAATTGCGAAGGATCGTGAGGAGTACACCCAAAGATCAAGCACTTGGGCACTTTCAAAACTCATCTTGAGCTTGTACATGCAAAGCTCCTGCTTGAAGAGCAAGGTTCCAAGTGACTGATGCAAGATCTTGAATCATAAACTTAGAACATACTGTAATTGTTTAATGCCTCCAACCTAATAGCGATGTCCTCCACCCTACATGGGATTGTAAAGTACAGTATGCTGTGTTGAAGGTGACAATCCACTCCTCCCACCGACCATCTGGAAGGAGTTTGGCAGCCCTGCGCAACTGCGATTAGAGAAGCAAATGTGAGGCAAGGAAGCGGGTTTTGCTGTTGAAATGATCTAGCACTTGCAGAAAATCGTGCATCTTGGCTACCCTTCTGTCAAGTAAGCATAGTCTGGCCTGACGAGTTCTTCGCTAATGCGCCTTGCGTAACAAGAACCCATCATTACAAGGTTTGAAAACCCTCAAAAAGAGATCACACAGACAAACATCCCTGTTTGTGCGTTGTGTTGGTAACATGCATTTTCTTATACAGAGACATCGTCCAAATCACTCTTTTCGATGCCTTTCCAAGAATTTTGCTATTTCGCTACAGCGAAACGCGAACTCGACAAGTTCTAGTTCCCCCCATATCTCTCTCTCAGCATGAAAATGCATGTTTCTCCAACCAAAGATGATTAACCCTCCACCCAACCCAACACACTACCATCAACAAATGCAAAAATTGCGAAACACAAAGAAAATCCGGTTAAAAAAATCCTCTTTGCGAACAAGCACGAAGAAGAAAGAGCTTGACATGATTCACCATAACAAAATGCTGTTTACCGTGAACATGTATACTGTAAAGGTGCTCGCTTTCATGCCAAGTGCAACGACATCGGACTAATTCTTCGTGGCACAACTACTAGCGCGGTTATCAACCCGCTAGCACAAACATGTCCGAGCAATCACCACCTGCTTGTCAAGCTGTCCAAGGGAGCTGTCGGCCTCAGCTGCAAACATTACAGTCTCAAGTGTAAAGTGGATGGGAAACAACTTACCACGAGAGAGTAAACCAACGAATCAGAACAAAAATTGAAGACTTTCTTAGCAGCTTGCTTCACTGCCAAAGTGATCATCTTCGCCTTCAAGGGCTTGGAAACAGGGGCAAGGACGCTACTAGTAGCTCCTGGCATCGCTACTTATAACAAGGGCATCGCCCGAGGCTTTGCGAACAGAAACTCCACGTGCGGTACTGAGCTGCACAGCTGGATTTCTGGATTTGTGTGTGACACCGACACCAGATTGTTTCTAAAAGGAATTTCTAGATGTGCATAACTGCAGCTTGGTTTCTGGAAGGAGATTCCGTTTGGGTTGCTCAGCTGCTTTGTTCTGGACTTGTGTAAGCGCCGCTTCCTTGCAAGAGGGTTTTCTGGATTTGTGTAACTGCAACTGAACAGCTGCGTTTATTGATTTGTGTAACCGTGGCTTCCTTGCAAGAGGATTTAATTTGGATTTGTGATGTATTTTTCATGCCATGTGTGGCACTCAGACCAGCTGGGCTTAACGGCTTCTCTCCAGCTTGTCCTAAACAAGTGTGCCAGTTGTTGGGCGACAACAATCCCAGGTCGTTGTAACTCTTTCTCTCTCTCTCTCTCTCGCTTGCACAGGCTAATGTTGATTGATATAGTTGAACATGGACTCCGCTGCCTGTGTTTCCTACCGTTCTACTTTGCCTCATCCGAGATGTCTAGGAATTGCAAATGACGACAGTCCACCACGGCCTCACTGGTTCCAAAGTGCAATCGCTTCCAAGGTTTCTGGTTGTTGGACTCTGCCTATGCTGGCATTCCAAGGGCAAAGCATGCGGAACCGCAATGCCAGGAGGCTGAGAAGAGAAGACAAGGCAAATACCGCCTGAGCAGTCTTCTTACAGAGTGGGGTAGGAAGCTAGTAGTAACAAGTGCATCGCTAGTAGTAACAACAAGAAGCTATTAGTTAATTTAATTCTAATTTGATTTAATTCTAATAAATGCACTGTGCAACTTCACAGCTCAGGAGCCCAGCACAAGCTTGCCCAAATGCAAGGGTTTTCATTTTCGATCTCCTTCATATCAAAGCCCACGACGAAAAAAGATTTTGACGAAGCGCTGTTTCCTTCTTTGTAAAGCCAAATGAAAGAAATCAAAGCTCCTCTTCTACCTGTGTCACACATTCAGAACCTTCATGCGAAGCATCGCTAAGCAGGAAGAAAAAGTCCAAAAGTCTCATGTTTCTGTCTTTTACTAGGAGCAAGAACGCTACTAGGGGCTCCTGGCCTTGCTACTAGTAGCAAGAACGCTACTAGGGGCTCCTGGCCTTACTACTAG